CAGGACTAAGGATTACTTGACTAAGGATTATTGAAGCCGGTACTTGTAACAGAACCAAACCAAAAACTAATTTATGGTCCAATGGCTAAAATATAAGCGAGAACCAAAATCACACAAGCCAATACGAAATTGTAGGAGGTATCGTGCCATCGTTGGATCACTACCAGCACCGGAGCAGCTTGTAAAATTTATGTGTAGCTCAGCAGAGCAATGGAACTGGGTAAGCCAGTTGATGGAGTATGCCTAGATAAAGCAACCCTTTCTCTCGAAGTAATACTTTGCAGTGGTTCCGCGGGGTCTGTGGTGTGTGTGGGGGTGAATTGATCTGTTATGACTTTTTGCGTCCTCGGCAGCTCTTGCAGACGCGCCCCCTGGGGCTTGCCTCACCACAAGCAGCTTAGTCGCATCGTCGTCACCACGACGACGAGCCTCCTCACTTTGTCTCTCACCGTCTCGGCATTCTCTTCCCAATGCAAGGTCGACACACATCGTGCAACATACTACGCTGGGTCGAAACCTGCTGGTTCAACGGCGACTGTGAGAAATCTTCCGAAATCTCGGTTGCTCGACTCACCAACGCCCGCTCGAAGAACTGCCAGCGAGCATTGGAGATGTTCCAAGACGGCACGTGAGGTAAGCTCTCAACTGTTTTTGGAGTCGTTGGTGTTGATACAACTATGATCATGTTATGACCACACAACTCCCCCTCTTCCACTCCAATATGGCCCATATCGATTCTGCATCCTTCGCAATTGTCACGAACACCGGACTGAGCTGGTTTGGGGGATTTGTGGCGGTTCTGTTGTCCTGCAACACGACCGCATGTACCTGAGATTCGGCTCCAGCTCGGTTTCGAACTGGCAGTACACGCAGAGCAAGACCAAGAGCCAAGACTCCCTTTAACTCTCACGCATGCGTACTCGGTGGTGAGGGGCTCCATCGGCATGCAGATGACTTCCGGGAGATCCCCGAGGATGGCTGCTTTTCCTCTCCGGTCGGTGTATATTCACATTCCCTCTGGAAGCAATGCCAATGCCAATGTATGGCTAGTGGAGCAGTGCAAATATACAACCTCGCTGAGCCGGACCCTGAGCGAGCACAATGATGGTAACCTCGACCACAGTTTGCTTGGATGAAGCTAAACATTAATGTTGAGCATACACCCTCGCAAGCACCGCAGCGTACGACTAAAAAACTGACTAAAAACGACTAAACTCCGGGTAATTTGAGTATTTAACTAGAAAATGATAAAGAAGCAAAAGTGGCAAGGACGTAGCAGAAGCTGCTCTCGTGACAATATCGATATAGTGCGTTATCGAGTTCTAATTTTCGACTTAATTCCGTTGAGATGTGGAGGGGAATTCCATACCGAGCGAACTAGAAATCAGTGCATTGGCTACAAATTTTGCTGTGATGTCGACTAATAGAATTGCTGTGGGCCATTTTGAGAAACGATCGATACACGTAAGGCAGTATCCGTTCGATGAAGGCAGCGGGCTGACGATGTCAATATTGATATGTTCGAAACAGGCGTCGCTGGCAGCATTCGGTTCGAAAGCCGATTCCGTGTGACGTTGAATTTTGGCTTTTTGACACGGGATGCAAGAGCGTACGATTTCAGTGACATCCTACGTCATGCGGGACCTAACGTAGTTTTTTGCGACCAACCAACTTTTTCGTTGTCTGGATGGATTATCGAATGCAGGACTTTAACCAAGGTTTGGCGTAGGCATCTGGAAATGAACAGGCGTATCTGGTTATTGGCGACGTGGCAGTAAAATTTCTTTTCAGGCTAAAAGAGACAATTTTGTTATGTTATAACTAGATAACATAAGCTCGATAACTCGGGGGATAAACGGCAGATTAAAGTTGATCATTACCAGAAACTTTTTCAGATCCTTCGTAATAAGCGGTGTTCAAAGTGGCGGATGGCTTCTTGGCTTCCACTTTGGCTTCAAATAGTTTCAAGTGGTGCTGGCTGATGTCGTATCCCAGATGTAATGGGCTGGACCAGTTGCAGTTTGAAGGGCATCCCATCCTCTTTCGATGAAATAGGAGAACTCGCAGGAACTTAGGGAATTGATTTTACGTTGAGGCGCGTGCAGCGTTTTGAGTAGCGTAGCTTGATCGATGAGTTTGCGTCATTTCATTTAGTACAAGTAAGTCAAAATGTTTAAGGAAATCGGATTCAATGGTAGCGCAGTTGACGTCAGCTATCACGACGGTCCAAACGAAGTTTCATCTCAATCCCAGTGCCAATGCTATTCGATTTTCTCCATAGGTTTGTATTTTCGTGCCATTGGCGGCGAAAAGAAGCTTTGGAGTGAGCATAGTTTATGGCGATAGAAATCGCCAACTTCCATCACTTTGTAAGCGCTGAAACCACAGTGCTTTTAATAAAGTTTTTGATATAGCCTTCTGGAATTTTTTGTTCGCTTTCGCAGAAGTGTTCCAGAATGCACGATTTAAGTTTTCGTACTTGTCTGTGGCTGTTGGGTTGAAGATGGCGTCGGCGATTCGGTCCGACACTGGTTCTTCGATTGACACTAGGATAGTGTTAAGCTTCGTTTCGTCTGAGGTTATTCCCGCCAGAACGAATTGGGCTTCGATTTGCGATACCCAATATTATGGGTGCTCGGTCCAAAACGTGAAAGACTTCGGCGTCGTCTGGTGACGTGTTGTTGTTTGTCATTGTAAGCAACGGTGGTCGCATGTATATAGTGATCACGTCGGGGTCACCAATTTAATATTTGAGTATTTTTTATAACTATATATGTCGGGTCAGGCAGCAGTACAGTCATTTAATGTTAGTGTTGAAATAATGTTAATGTAATGTTTAGTGCAATGTTAATTTATTTAGGCTTAAGTTTGTACAAAGTGCTTAGTTGGTCGCAAGCCGACTCTATCTCGACCGCTTGACTCAACAGGCCTCTCTTTAGAGAGTTTTAGCTCCGCAATGTCTAGGTCGGGCCGCCGTCTATATTATCGAGAGCTTTAGTTTCGCGTATGAAAACCCTCAATGACCAAACAACATACATAAACTTAAAATTAAAAAAATGATCAAGAAGCGAATGTGGCAAAGGCGAAAAAGTAGCGACGGACGTTGCTGTCGAAGTCCTTAGGCGTTTATATACACACATGAGCTGGAAATGGACTCCCGCAATATCGATACTCGCGTAAGTTACCTAGCTCGGTCGTGCTAACAAAAGCTGATGAGGGTTGCCATAGAACTTTTGTCGCATATACGAAGAACGCCCGGGCAAGACTAGGCTGCGAGAGACGCAACGGACAGCGAGCAAATATGAGCAGCTATACGATGCAATGACTTGGGCGCAACATAGGACTAGGACTAGGACATTGTAAGACATTGCATTGTATCCAACTTCACTTTTCGGTATACAAAATCCGGTACCGCTCTTTTTTTTACACAAAAGTGATTTAATCGGAGCGTAACATATAAATCCAGTCTGTAATTTACAAAGCGTATAAATCAATATCGAGTTCCAACATTGAAGTAGCTAGCCGCCTTGGTAAAATAAAAATTCTGTTGAATGTTCAGATATGTCTCAACCCCGTCTGTTTTGTTGATTTTATGTTTTTGCAAGCAGACACATCAGATTGCTTCGCGATTTGAAAACCGCGACTGCACCGGGGGAGCCCCCTGCATCAACGACGCATCAGCGGATTGCTTCGCTTTTATAAAATCTCAATTGGAAAGTGTTTTTGGAAAGAACTAATAAGGACTTCAAAGTAGGCGGCAATCAAAACTACCTTAGAGTAGGGTCTGGCCTTTGAAAGAAAGGGGTCCTCTCCTTTCTTCTAAGAATGTCAATTCAATACTATGTAAAAGAATTATGAGAAGTTAACTGAACAATACTGAAAAGGTCTAAAATCCCACCTCTTATACAGAGATAGGGCCAAGTACCTAGTGGAGTAACTAGATAAAAAGCTAAGCTGGAATCTAAAGAAAGGTTGAATAAAAACAATAGGCCCTTACTGATCGAATAATCAAGTGAAACACAGCAGTGAAACTCCTACAACATCGGACATTCCTCTCTTCTACTTCTCTCCACTTCTTCTACTCCACTATTCTATTCAGCACAGCACAGGGGCTTCTGTGCTCAGGGCTGTGCATAGGGCTACAGGGGCACAAATCAGCACTGCTATTGCTATAAAAACTAAACATTAAAAACTATTAAAAACTAAACTCAAGGGCTATATCCAAGAGTTCGTTATCGTTAGAGCTAGAGCTGGGATAAAATCGATTATCGATGGGTCGATGCATCGATTCGGTTTAAAAATATCGAATCCCTACAAAAACAAGAAAGAAAACCTAACTTCGGACGGAGCCGAAGTTGATATATCCTTGCAGTTAAAACCGGATATATATCGCAAACATCGGATATAGTTGGGCGATCCTTATGAGAATATCATAATAATACCAATTAATTACAATAAAATATCTAAAAAAAAGTCCCAAGCTTCTATCTTCAAAAATACCAAAGTTTGTATTTCTACCAAATACCATTGCCGATTGCTCAGTGGAATCTATAAGATATAGTCGGCCGATCGTTATGAAATTTGGTAAGTCGGATTAACTGACCATAAATATAATTTGTACTTAGTTCCAGCTTTCTATCTTTAAAAACATGAAAGTTTGGTCATTTCCGATGAATTTCTTATGAAATTTGGCATGTCCTATTATTGAGCTAAAAGTAGCTCTCATGAGTACATGAATCCAAGACGAGAAAGGAAATCTAACTTCGGACGGAGCCGAAGTTGATAAACCCCTAAAGCTAAAAACGAATATATATCTCAAATATCGGATATAGTTGACCAAACCTTATGAGAATATCATAATAAAACCAATTTATTAGAATACAAAATCGTAAAACCGCACACTTTTGACCAAAATTATCATACCCACTGCAAGGAATAAAAATTATTTATTCACAATTTTTGAAATGCTTTATTGTCATATGTTAAAGGCGGACACTTACCTGGGAATAGTCTTCGTAGGTATTTCAAGATTCGATCCATCTACTCGACCGCCATAAATTTGACTATTTTTTGAAGAATTTTGTCCACCCGTAATACTTCCCATGTCTAGGCGGCCAGTATTGGGGTTTAATTGTTTTTGGGGTCCAGTCAAATCGCCATTTGAACCAGTTGTGACAATGTTACATCCAGCTGCGGAAGATACACCTAAGGTAGATATACTGTTTACGCCTTTGGGCGTTTGTATACTTCTTCCTTTAGCTGGCACATTGGTAACGGGATCATCTTCACCCTCTTCCTCACTTGAACTTGGATCAATCATGCTTAAACTATTATTTGCTAAAAAAGAAAAACAATAATTTCACCATGCATAAGAAAATTTTGAGAAACAAGTTCATATATTTATAAAATTACTAGCTAACCTGTCAATAATTGTTTGACCCATTTTTTCTAGAAAACATTTTTTTCAGATAAAAAAATACATGAATAAAATGCGTTTTTGACAGCCCCGAATTTGATTATAAAAATAACTCTGCAATTCGAAATCAGCATGCACTTTATTTAGAGTTAAATTCGCATCCGACCGTTCAGGGGCTCAGCTCAAGACAAGATATTTTGTTCAACATTCAATATTTTGCATATCAATGTGTATCCAAATCTAAGCCACATACAGATAATGTCTTTGGCCTTGTAACTCATTGATCGTCATCACTTTTTTAATTGACATACTTGCAAATATATTTAATAATCTTCACCGAACTGCATGACTCAAATTTCAAATAGTACCACCACTAACCATACAACATATAGTACTATATGGTATTATGGTATGGTACGAAAGCAGACGGCGTTTCAAGTGACGCCAACTGAAATATACCCTGTTCCTATTATAGTGTATTTATTTTTATTGAAAATGGTTCGGTCGCGAAACAAAGTTAACAACAGATGCGTTGAATCTTCGTAGTAGCTTCGATTGGCTAGTGCACCTGTTAAGTCCTCGCCCTCCATAAAGTATATTTGTAAAAATTTATTAGATTTGTTTGGCATTGGCAACAATGAGCCCGCTTTGTAATACTCTTGGCCTTTGATTTCAACCATTAAATGGTTGACCGTTTGCAGCAATAGTGTTAAGAACACTATTTCTATTGCTCCAAACGATGTCATGTGGAAGCATGAATTTCATCTTCGTAACAGGAAAAGGCTAGAATCTGGATCTGTACCGAGAAGTAAACCACGAAATAGTTCAAGTGTTGTTTTAATTTTCTGATGAGCAACCCATCCCAACTGGCTCATTTTTAAATTTAAGTGCATGACAATACATGTACCATGTAAGTACCAATAATCCCTTTGGAATGAGCATAATATACATATTGAAAGAATGACCATAAGTATAATAATAGTGGAATGCTAGTCGTAAAAATGACCTTGATGTAAATGCTCGAAAAGCTTGTTCGCCTGATACTCGTACTCTTCTATTTCGCGCAACTCAAATTGGCCCCTTTGCGTATTTTTGGTATTGGTGACTGTAGATCATTTTTGATGTCGGTACTCTTTAAGGTAAAGAAATTACAACAAAAATAATGTTAATAAGAGCCAATAAGAGAGCTTCTAAAAATTTCAGCGTGCTCACACTGTCCTTGTAACAGCAGATCTGCAGCAGAACTTCTTATACTATGAACGCGAGCCATGGAACACGAGAGCTTGTCCAACACTGATCTAGCGTTAAAATACTCCATTCACCAAGAGTGCTCCGCACCGTACAATACACAGCAGCCAACTAAAGATAGAAAAACCCTACTTAGTGAGCCAACCATTATACTCTAAAAACCATTATAGCCCAGTCCGTCGGAAATCGATAGAATACCCACCAAGGTCGCGTTAATTAACCCTGGATGTATTCACAATCCCTGCACGAGTAGTATTAACCTTGAAATTAGATAAGGAAGCTAAGATTATAATAGCTAGTTATCACCGACAGAGAATGGTTCAGATTATCATACGCAGCGACGAGGAGATGACGCCATCAAGACCGCAAATCGGAGAACACAAGACTTTACCATGGGACAGCCTACTACGCCGCGAAGAACCACGGCACCCACGAACGCTAACGTCTAGGTGTCGCCCATTAACAGCCGACGGCGGCTTAGAGAAAAATTTCCAGATGGTACCTACTGGGTGAACCTGAAATGACCAGCTTTAGAAGTAAGAGAGAGATATGACGTTCCAAAATAAAGTCGCACATGCAACTATCGATTATAGTCTTTACAAGTCCTTAAGGGGTTATATACCATAACGCCAAAGGCGTCATGCACGTCAAAGGAATTATATTCGCCACTGACCGATACAATTTACTCAGGATCCGAAGCAGTTTTATAACTTTTTATGACAAGCTCTACTTACGTTTGAAAATTTATCTGCGACCTCTGATCTATTTTGCCTAAAATGGCAGATCCGCCTTAGGCATATAACATTGAATTAGCCTTATAACATTCAATTCAATCAATCATTCTTATATTATGTCCGTCTTTCTCCAAGAATAAATTAATTCATCAGATCTTCTAAAGGTTTAATTGGTTTATTCGCCAGTCCTTATTCGATGGAGTACCTGACTGTGTGCTTAAATGCTACGCCAGGGCTCAGTGCAAACCCCTACATCAACTTTTTAACTTATCTTTGGAAACCTCGATATTTTCCCCTGAGTGGAAGGAATCTTTTACAGTTCACGTGCCAAAAAAAGGGGAAAAATCGGATGCTACCAACTACAGAAGTTGGCAACAATTCCAAAGTTATTTGAAATCAGTTTTTCGAACTTCAGTTATTTACACAGAGTAACACTCACTCCTGTTGACAAAACTGAATCTTTTGGGATTTCCTACAGACCTCCTTACGTAGATCTCCAGCTACATAGATGGAAGAACACAAAGAGTTTTATTTAAAAATGTACATTTCTCTATCGCAAAATCTCACTTTCCTTTCGTTCAAATCTCAAAACATTTATTCTAAATTTTTTACGAGACCACATCTAATTTAATAATTATTATTGCTTTATCGATTCTTGGTTATAGTCCCGCGATTCCCGTCTATCGGTTGGGTCTCCAAGTTTATTTTCTCCAAGCTTAAGGACTGTTTTCCTGACTCAGTTATTGACAAGGTCTTGGAGAAGCTTCAAAAAAGCAAAGTATTTTTTTAATAATTGTCCTGAACTATGGATTCTTCAATGTCCTAATAAAAGAAAGCAGCAAACAGTATACAGGGTTTATTAGCCACCATTCAGATTTCAGAACTCCCCGGCAGTATTTATAAGATGTGTTAATTATGGGCTTTAAAATCTGATCAACAAGAAAGTTATATATGGACGACATATTCATTCATGCAGCAACGGCAGACAGCTTAGAAAAAAGGCACATGTCTTTAAACCATGAACTATAATTTTATTTATTTTTTCGCGGTCTTTCAGAATTTTGGAAATAGCTTATGCATCAACTTATACCCGATACTCGTAGAGTAGAAGGGTATTTTGTAGTTGTGTGAATGTATGTAACATAGAGAAAGAATCATCTCCGACGCCGTAAAGTATATATGTATATTCTGAATCAGCATGAACTAAAAAGCTAAGTCGATATAGCCACGCCCGTCTGCTGTCCCTATAATGCCCCCGAAGTTCAATTTTTTTGACAAACTTTTCCACTTTCCTTTACGCCCCATTAATTGCAAATATCTATAGCGCCAGTACAGGAAGATTTTTTGGCTTAAGATGGCTTAAAATATTAGTCAAAAAAACCAAATTGCAATATGCAAAATTTTGAAAAGATGTATTTTGATATAGTAGTGTGTATCAAAGTTGTTTTAAATTTGTATTGTGATTATTAGAATTGTTATAATTGAATTGTTAATTATCAAAATCAAGTATAAAATAGCTCAGGGCTGAGCGGGAGCGAAAGCTCATATTCGCTCTTGTGCGAATTAGCCCCGCTTCGCCGCAGTAGGTAATTAGGCTTAAGATAAGAGAATAATAAATATCGAGTTATAACGTTAAAGAGGCAACATCTTTCCTTCTTTTATTTGTTGTTTATTAAGCAGAAACCAATTATTTTTTGATATGTAAGAGATAAAATAATCTCGACAAACATTTTGGCGGTTCAGGGTGGACTTTTGTGCTAGATATTAAAAAATTGTCACAAAATTGAAGTGTTACTTCAATTTAAATCAGAAGTCGGCACGGCCATAAGGAATGTACCGAAAAGAAATTGCACACTTTTTAGCGCCAATTTCTCGTAGAGCTGGATCGTGCTGGGAAATGTACCGTTCGAAAGCTTCATTAATTCTGCTTTGTTTACATATTCTATTTTCATAATTTATCCTTTACTTTCGACAATGCCTCGAATCAAAGAGGAAGTTCTCCAAAAAATTGGCACTATTACTGCACAGAAAGAGGTGTTTCGTACAGACAATTAGCTAAACGCTATAAAGTTAGTGTTAATAGTGATAAAAACATAATAGAAATATTTGGGGAGACGGGTTCTATTAATGATTTACAAAAAACTGGACGAAAATAGGGTTCTAAAGATAAAAATGTTGATAAAAAAGTATTGGCCTTCATCCAAAAAAGCCTTAAGCCTTTTAGCGTTAATTGGCAAAAAAAAAAGACAAACAAGTATGAGTATGGTACAAAGAATAAAACGGCGGCATAAATTAAAAACATATAAAAATCCAAAATTGCAAAAACAAGAAAGGAAAGCTAACTTCGGGCGCAGCCGAAGTTGATATACCCTTGGAGTTAAAACCGGATATATATCACAAACATCGGATATAGTTAGCCGATCCTTATGAGAATATTATAATAAAACCAATTAATTAAAATAAAATATCTATGAAAGAGAATGACCTTTTTATACCCTTGCAGAGGGTATTTTAATTTTGGTATTGTAAAAAGTGGTAACCTTTTTATACCCTAGCAGAGGGTATTATAATTTTGGTCACAAGTGTGCAACGCAGTGAAGGAGACATCTCCGACCCTATAAAGTACATATATTCTTGATCAGGATCACCTCCTAAGTTGATATGAGCATTTCCGTCTGTCCGTCTGTCTGTTTCTACTCAAACTAGTTTCTCAGTTTTAAAGCTATCGACTTGAAACTTTGCACACACCCTTCTTCCCTTTGCACGCAGAACATAAGTGCGGGATCGGCCGACTATACCCTATAGCTGCCATATAACTGATTGATCGGAAAGGGTTTAACTTTCGTGTTTTTGAAGATAGAAAGCTGGCACTTGGTACACATTCTATTTTTGGTCAGTTAATCCGACCTACCAAATTTTACAACGATCGGTGGACTATA